GGGTTAAACAAAACCATGGAAGATCTCAGTCACAATACTTAGAGCTAGAAGCTCATTATACAATTTTCTCCATCCTCCGGTCACCTCACCCCTCTTCTATCCACGTATCCGTCCAAGAACCCTCTTCTCCAGTACCTTCAGTGCTATAAAGATGATAACGTGCGCTAGTTTAATCCTTAATTTACACAGCACCCATTGTCCGAAAGCCCTTCGACCCTTCTACACATTTACAATTGACATATTGCCGCTAATATATCATTACGGCATGGTACGTCCTCACGGATGGAAATCTCCAGGTATGGAGGGTCTCTCCTCATACGATGAATAAGCCAATTGTGAACAGCCACCAAACTGAGTTCCTCTAGCTTGAGGATTTGGGTGCGAATAACCGCTCATTGAAATAAAAACAATCACATTCCACAAAGGCCGTAAGTCCACTGGCGGGATTTTGCTAACACAGCGATGAATCTTTGGCGAGGAATTTCTTGGCCAGCTGAGCAACTCTCAACTTGCCAAAAAGGTTACCGTGAAATCAGATATAGGCCTATGAATCACGATACTTACATTTTACAGTTTGAAGATGGCTGTCCTCTGGGTTGTTGCGCCGTGTAGCCTGGTAGAAGTTTACCGACGTTTCAGAGGTCCTTGCTGAGGGTGATGGAGGCAGCAAGGACCTCTGAAACGTCAGTAAACTTCTATCAAATCTTACGAATGAATCAACTGTTATGTGAACAGAGACCAACTCTATGTATTGTCCTCCAATTAGCTGTATCACAATGAATGAGGCTGTAAAACTTGCAGTTGCATACTGTCAGCTTGTCAGCCAGTGACCCCGGAAGTTGGTTGCCACAGAACACTGGTATGTAACTAACTAATCGTATTGATTTACGGACATACTCGCCTAACAGTAATTTGCCCTGCAATTTGGAAGCCAATCCCTGCTTCTAAGTAGGGTAAACTCTTTATTTTATATCGTTATACGATTTTGTACAACTAAGCATTTCTTCAGCGGATGAAGTTTCGTGCTTCTGCAGTTCCTAGAAGAGACAGCAACTTGTTCCTTTCTTCTGGATTACAACAAAAACACCAGCACTGTAATTCACCGTTATATAAAATGTTCAAAGATGTTAACGAAAATATTGGGTAGAAACCATTTTTATTATTCCTTGAGTCTTATTAAAGCTAATAGAACATGTTATTTTACATGCATTTAGAAGGGACACCGATCGAGTCCCAAGGATGGTTAATTTTAAGCTTTTAGCAGCTTCATTCCCACCTTCAGGCGAATTACACATTAAGGGACCTTTCTTGTTCATCCCATTTAATCTTATCGAACATTTTTGTGTAGCGCCAATGCTCTGGAGTTGTGCACGTGGGGTACACGGTTCGAAACTGTGCTGTCCTGAGTGAGAGTTAACCTTTCCTTTTTTATCCAGTTTGGTC